GAAGGCAGATTCGGAATCAGCGCTTCAAGCTCTCACTAACGGTATGCAGTGCTGTGATTGGCCACTTCGACTTTGTGGCCCTCCCTTGTAAGTAGGATTAGCAAAAAGCATGGAACTAATAATATCAAGCGGAGAGGCTTACCTGTTCCTTGGAGAGGCCATCTCGTTCAACAATCCGTCGTACCATTTCCTCATGAGGGACAAATACTGTCCATAACTCGTCCATGTAGGTGTGCCACGATGCTTCTATTATCGCAGCTGCTTCTACCACTGCAAATGGTGACTTGATTGAAATGAAAAGGGGACGGATAAGAAACAGAACGTACCAATGACATCGCTCTTCGAAACAGCAACACGCGCTTTTATTTTCTTCATTAAGTGTGGCCAGATTAGCTCACATAACCTTTTCAACTTCATCTAAAACAGAATTTATGGTTGCAGAGTCAAACACAAAGGCCTCTCACTTCATCATTGAACACAGCTTGTCCTAGAAGTTTTCTATTGATGACGCCATTTTCCACCACACCATCAAAGCTTTTGGCGACGGCTTCGGTAAGTTCGCCTCCAGGCTCATAGCAAGTGTGAGCCAATTTGTCGCAGTCGATTACCTAAATCTGGGTGGTGAATCCTGTAGAAGGAACTGGTTGAATCAAAACACAGAACAAGTGAACTATACCTCAAATCCAGGTTCGTCCTTTAGATACTTGGCTATGTTACTTTTTCCACAGGCAATGCCTCCGCATAAACCAATTACGTATGGGAGACCTTTCCGTTCTGGATGTAATGTAGGTGGACGTAAAAGCTTGCCGAGGTCTTCTCTGAACGAAAATAAACTTCTAAAAACTAAGGACAAGTAGAGAACTCAATTATTTCAGAAAAGAAGCTTCACCCGACCTTCGACGACTTGAAGAACTGATCTTTGTCTCCTTGAGCACATGATCGATAGCTTCTAAGAGATCAATAGTTATCATATCCAAGTGAGACATATTTTTCTCCTAAAAAACTCAGATAATGTGTAATGCGTCACAAAACTTATGATAAGAGCATAGATCCGTGAACTGAGGGAAAACAACGCGTCTGGGAGCCGCATTGTTCAAGCAATCAGGAGCAATAAAATAATTTTAGATAAGAACCAACGTAATCAAAGAAAAAACCCGCCTTCCGCACTCTATTGACTGC